GAGGACTCCACGTTTCATAATTGAAGAAAACAGAAATACAATCTAATGCCATGATTGGGAGTGTTTAAGATAAAACAAGTGCTTATTGAATAAGTATTTATTTGCATTTGAAATCCAACTTTTTCAATAAGCACTTATTTTATATTGGGCATTTGGTAGTTTTTTTCTCCAATAAGCACTTAAATAAGCATTTGTGATTTTTTCGTCCTTTATTTTCTTTCAAAATTTTAAAATATATCTTTATGAAAGTACTTTTATTAAACTACTTTTATAAAAACACTTTTATGAAAATACTTTTAGAAAACACTTTTATAAAAGTACTTTTACGGAAGTACTTTTATGAAAGTATTTTAATAAAAGCACTTATATAAAAATACTTTTATAAAAGTATTTTACGAATGCATTTTAATAAAAACACTTTTACGAAAGTGCTTTTATAAAATTCAACTAGGGATAATTTTATAAGTGGTATTTTAAAATCCAACTAGGAATAATTTTTGAAGAAAAATTTGAATAAGTGTTCATTCTATAAGCACTTAAAAAAACTGGAATTTTGGGCTTAAAAATAAGCACTTATTTCGAGCTTATTTCCCAAATACCAGTAAGTGCTTAATGGCCCGAATAAGCACTTGTTTTTAAACACTCCCAAACATGGCCCAAGTATGCTAAAAAATGGAGATGAACTTCATGAGGACTGTCGAGTGGGTATCATCAGTACTGTACAACCTGATCCAATGGGCCATCTAGTCTACTGATCCTCCATTGGGAATATATGTCAGCCCTAACCAAACCAAACCAATTTTGCAGCAGCGCAAGAAAGAAACCAAACTATTTTTACAACAGTGCAAAAAAAACAGACTGGATTTAGTCCAATCCGATCTAGTCCAATATGAATCCATTACATATGGACCAGGTCCAATCCAATCTGATTTATATTTTGGACTGATCCAATTCAATGGTTGGACCGCCCAATCTGTTCAAATTGGTTTTTAATTTAGATTGGTTCCAACACAAACCTATTCCATTGATACTTGTAGTCTTATCTTTTATCAACAGACTGGATATTGGTTTAATTTGACTCATTTCAATATAAATCCATTACAGATGGACCGGGTCCAATCTAATCTAATAAATACTTTGGACCATCAAGTCTGGACACTGATCCAATTCAATATGTCTTATTGGTCCATTCAATCCATCCAAATTGATTTTGATTTGGATGGGTTCAACCCAAAATCAATCCATTGATACCCCTACTCTTCAAATGCTATTTAAACAGGAATGGCCTCATAAACAATTATCTAGATGAAAAATAGTAGTTTAGGTGATAAAAACTACAACTTCCAAAACTTGTGCCATGTGACATCACACGCCAAGTGGAGATCCCTTTGCTTTCTCCAAACGTTACCTCATAGGAAGGGCTTCATTCTCATTTATCATTAATAAAAATGATCCCAATATATTTAGGGTAAATTTCTGGAACCTCCCCCTAAGTTTTTGACCATTGCTGAAAGCTTGAAACCTCCCCTGAAGTTTGATAATTGCAACCACATCCCTTAAACTTTCTAACATAGTTGCAAGTAGATTCCCTTTGTTGGAATCCTCTAACAAGAGATATAGAAATGTCTAAAATACCCATATGGTTACTACTGAGGTTGGTTTCTACAGGAAAAAAAAAACAATAGAAACTTTGTAAGCAACAAAAAAGAAGAGTTTAAATTTGCAGCTTTACCTTTGAGCGATTGATATAAAGAGAACATTTGGAAAATAAATTAATTTCAAAAAGAGATTAAAAGGGTTTTGGGGTAAAGATTGATATGAATTGGAAATTTTGAAAATAACATTTTGATCAAAAGTAACTGCATGGGTATTTTGGATATTTTCATGCCTCTTATTAGAGGAATCTAATAAAGAGAGTCTACTTACAACTATGTTAGAAAGTTCAAGAGAGGTGATCGCAATTACCAAATTTTATGGGAGGTTTCAACAATTTACCCTATATTTTATTATCATTAAGAAACAAAAAATGATTCCAATAGATGTAAAAGTAAATCCATAATTCTTCAATGAAATAAACTATCTACAACACAATAACACGTGGATTTATAGATAACCGTTCATTGTTAGAGCTTGGATCCCTTGCAAGCAAAACCACTGCTCACATAGCACCCAACCTCACATTAGTAATATCTTCCATGTATGTATATTAAATTTTCATGGGAGATGTTCCCAATATGTGACTGGATTCCCATGCTTTCACAATGTGTGTATGGAGTTTTGTTTGTAGGGAATCCTATCATTTATTGTTATCATTTTTGCACCACAATAGTGTAAGGCTTCAAGCATTATTTTGAAAAATGTTGATAGACTTGGACCAAAATAATCGAAATGTTCTATGGGTCATTTTCGTCCATTTGACTCGTCAAAACCATCATTTAACCATGACCTAGAATGGTCATTTTCTAGTTTGCATGGTCCAACCATCTAATTCGAGGATCGATTTGAACTTTACAACATTGTTCTTGAAAATTTGACTCTGAAGCCTAGTCACTTATGTTGTGGGCATGAGTGAATTTGAGCCAAACTAAGCCAAATATTTAGTTATTCAAGCTCGACTTGCACAAATGCACATGACTCAAATTCTGGCTCATGCTTGATTTGAGCTAGAGAGTTGAGCTCAAGTCAAAAGCTCATTCGTTTAAGCTTGACTATGAGCCAAGCTTACTATAAAAAAATATAAAAGCATACATATAAAAAACTTGTTTCTTATTTTACATATAAAAATTAAGAATTATAAACATTATTTATAATACATATAAAAATATTATATATAATATAAGCTTGATTAGGCTTGTGAGCCATTGGACTCGAGTTTGGCTCGATTAGCAAATGAACCTATATATTGGACTCGGACTTGAATTGAAGCTTGTATTGAATCAAGCTTTTTATGAGTTGAGCTCAAATATCCCATGAAAAGTTTGATTCATGTCCACCCCTCTTATGGCTAATTATTGCATATGAGAAAGGAGTAAGGGAATTGCACGTGTTACTCACTACTTGAGGTTGAGAGCCTTTTTTTCCTTCAATTCACAAAATTAGCCTTATTTAATATAAACTCTTATGTTGGATTTGTCTAATAATGTTGCATCCATTTTATAAAAAAAAAAGTAATGTTGCATTCATCTATCTAAGCTAGAGAACTTCTCCCTCAAACAAATGGCATATTATTCTATTGAGAATGAGCATCTAAAAAATGGTTACTCCCATTTTCAAACAAAAGCTTCATTCCTCAGACATGTGTCTACTCACTCAATAACAAGTATGAGCTTCAAATGAAAGTTACCTCCACCCTCAAAAGTGTTAGTGGTAGTTATCTCCACTAAAAAGAAAAAAAAAAAACTCATTTCAAATAATGCATGATCGATAAAATGGGTTATTATTTGGAAATAAAATTTGATGTAATCTCTTAAATTAAATAACAAACTTATATATAAAAAATATCAAATAAATTAATAACTTAAATTTACAACATAGAAAATGGGTGTCAAATAAATCTTATTAGAACATATGAATAAAAGAAGGATAAATTACAATAAAACCCTTGTACTAGGGGGTCAGTAACAAAGACCCCCAAACTTTAACTTGCAACAAATATCCCTTGATTGTTAAGTTAGGTGATAGAATGCATTAAATTACCAAAATGCCCACCCAAACTTTCCTTATTCTCTCTTTATATTCATTTTCTCTTAAACCTTAGTTGACAAAAAATACCTCTGTTTTCTAGGAACAAAACCAACTAAAATAACAAAGCTCATTTCACTAGCATAGAAAAAGAAAAGTTAAACAAAAAATTCTTGATTCATTTTACTTACATGAATGTCTCTCTTCATCTTAAAATATAAAAATTACTCATTCCTTTCTTCAATAAATGAATATATATATATATATATATATATATATATATACCATTTCGTTTGAATATTGAATCCAAAATGGGATTATAATTGATGGAGGTATTTGTCACAAAGTAAAAGTTTAGGGTCTTTATCAAAAGGGAAATTGTCCAAAACTCACCATGATTTTTAAGCATTTCTCTTAAACTCACCATAACTTTTCAAAATGTCCAGGGAACCCCATGTTAGTAATTTGGCGTTAAAAATACTAATGGTGTTAGTAGATTACCATCTACCCTCCCTTTTATACTTTTATTTATTTTTTTATTATTTCCTTTTTTTTTTGCAATTTTCGATGTTTTACACTAAATGTATAAGAAAGTTGGCGGTTAAGGACATTTTAGTCATAAAAAAGAATGACTTGTCATTCAGGGGCAGTTTGGTCATGAAAATTGCATTTATGCTAACATAGACAACTTTTGTCAATAAATATGGATGGCTCTTTAACGGATGGTGAGTTTTGAAAAATAAAAGTTCACTGACATGGGGTTCTTTGGACATTTTGAAAAGTTATGACGAGTTTAAGAGAAATGTTGAAAACTCATGGTGAGTTTTAGATAATTTACCTTAGGCTGTGTTTGGAAACAATGCAAATGGAGTGTAAATCCTGGTTCAGGGTAAAGTACATCAGTAAAAAATAAATAAATTTGCATTCAAGTGGACTTTTGAAAAAAAAAAGCATATACTTTATTGAAATTCATGTTCGCATCAATTACAACTAAAATTCTGTTTAGTAAGAAAGTAAATTTGTGAGTGCAAAACTAACCCAATTTTACAATTTATATGAACTATTTTACACTCTACATATCTACATCCACATTTATTTATATCATTTCCAAACACAGCATTATAAAAAATGAAATGTCAGGGGTATTTGTCACTACAAAAATTATCATAATTGTAGCCCCTATCTTGGTGCGGGATCATCCTCTATTTAACAATCCATCATTAGGCTCCACTTGTCCGAACAAAGTTGGAGGTGGCTCGGTTAATTATGGGTGTGCCGAGGGCACCAGTGGGCCTTGTCCCTCCATATAAATTTGCTGGGTGACTGGGGTAAGTGGTTTCCCACTTCCCACTTCCCACCCATTGGCCATTACTATCGCTTTCCTGCTCTCGTCTCTGAGAATATTGAGATGGAAATCATGGATCGGAATGATGCCAAGTTTTCCATAATTTCCATCTAAAACCGGGAGTCATTTTAAAAACCCGTTTGCTGCAAAAAAAAAAAAAAAAAAAAACGGACACCCCCATTTACCATATCCGTACAGCATCGAGGGTTTCTGAAACTAGAAAAATTATTGGAAGAAAATTTTCTTCGAGTAAAATCACAGAGACAGCGCAAAAGAAACGAGCAGACGGTGATGGTGGACAGGTATTGGCCATTTTGATTTGATTTTGAATAAAGCGAAGGAAAGGTTGAACGAAGTGGGAAGACACAGCGAGCCAGATAGATCACTTATTAGACAGAGGAAGAGAGACAGATAAGAGAGGTTTTAGGGTCTCTGAATTTATCCAAAAGGAGAGTAACAGACAAAGAACTGTAAAGATGACGGAGGTCATCCTCCATGTCTACGACGTCACCAACAGCGGTTCTGCAAAAACGAATAATACCATTGTTCAGATTAACAAGATCTTCAAGGACGGTATCGGTTTGGGAGGGATTTTCCACAGCGCTGTCCAGGTCGGTTTTTCTCCCCCCTTTCCATTATTCCTTTCTATTCAGTTAATCAGTTGGTTCTGTTTGGCCGGTTGGGTCACAATCTACGCTTCCTTATACCGTATGGTTAGATTTTACTTTTTATTTAGGGTTCTTTTGTTTGGATTGGTGCAATGTTGGTTATTGAAGCCGGGATCTAGGGTTTGAATTTAGATGCCATGGCTTGTACTTTTCTTTTTGGCCTTCTCTCGGAGTTTCTGATTCTGACAAATCATTCAAGTGTGTGTAGATTCCAAAATTACGGTATTCATGGAGAAAATTAGAATGCACGATAATTTTTCATTGACCCAAGATGGATTGCCTGTCTTAGTAATATGTTTTCTATCCTATGCTTTTTTTTGAAAGGAAAATCTACTATCTTCAGAGCGCTTGGTTCTGCTAGTAAATAGCTTCTTGATGGTATGGAAGGAACTCAAATTTTTTTTTTTGGTTCTCTCAAAGTTATTCACAAGTGTGTAACCGTTAGGCTGATAATTAAACCATTCGAAGAATAATCATCCACCTGTGCTTTGTTTATTTGATGTTTCAAAAGTAACTGGTTCCTGGATTAAGAAATTAATTTATATTCAGCATCAATGAATGTCATAAGAATTGGAAATCTATAAAACGATCATTTACTTAACTATATGTTTTACCATGGTCAATTCCGAGAGGTAAAGTTACTCTCCCTCTTATTTAGTTATCTGAATATGTTTCTCAACAGTTTGAATAACCTGACTAACTTGAAGCATTATACATTTTTGTTTCTTCTTTACCGTTCTCTCTTTCATTGTGCTTTGTGTTTAAAGTTTTGAATATGGATGTCTACTTTGGTAAATTTTTGAAATCAATCACAAACTTATTTGCACGTTTACAATCCTGCAGAATCATGTTACCCTTGTTAGGGAAACTATGTAATAGCATATTCATTTTTTTTTTTCCTTTGAGGTAAAACCATCCGAGTCTTCAATCATACTTAGTTTCTTTCCTTGAATTGCATGCCAAGGTTCAAGGCTTCAAGCTAAATACAAGTGATAAAAGCCATTGGAGTGATTGTCTTTAGCTGTTATAAGGGCTTCCAACTAAAACCTGATCAATAACTTGAGTTGCTACCCAACCTCAAATGTGCCAATTAAAATGGTTCCTTAGCACATCTCCCAGAAAGTTCTTTCAGCTTCGTTTGTTTCCTGCTACCAAACCACCATCATGGATGAACTGGCTCAAACATTCATTTTTCCATCCAATCTTTGTTCTAAATGAATCTACAATCTATATCAAAGCTTTAGTTATCTGCAGCCTCTACTTGCAAGCAAGGTTCAAAGTATCGATATGATACGCCCCGTATGGGGCGTATCATATCGTATCTTTTGAAAAAGATACACCCCCTTACAGGTGTTTCGGGAACCTCACCTTTTTTTTTAATAAAAAACCTATTTTTAGCTTCCAAAAAACCAAGATTTGAAAAAAAACTAAAAAAAAAGTGTTTCGTGTGTTTCTAAGTACCGATACGATACTGCCGATACACAGTAGCATATCGATACTTTGAACCTTGCTTGCAAGCACTCAAAACTGCCAGCCCTCTTCTTGACATTTGGATCACTCAACAGATTTTCTCCCTCTTCTTCAAATCTGGAATCTCCTTCAATATATTTCTTGCTAGCTCTTTTGTTAATCATTTTCTCAAAATTAGGTGACTTCCAAGGTGCCTATAACATTCTCATGGAAATGCTGGATCTTGTTGTGGTTATGGAATGTGTTGATATCTGGAAGAGCAAAGCAGAGCGAACCTGCTTTCTGTCTCTTTGATTGCTTGAGATGCTCTGGTCTCAAGCCTGACATTTTCACCATGAGCTCTGTATTAAAGGATTGCAATGATTCCCAAGAAAATGAGATAGCCCATGGGGTTGCCATTAAGACAGGATTTGTATCTGGTGCTTTTGTAATCAGTGGCCTAGTTGACAACTATTCAGGATCTGGAGACCTTGCTTCTGCAGAAAAATGCTTTGGGGAATCTTTTGTCATTGGTTCTGTAATATGGGCAACTATGATCTCTGGGTATGTTTTGAATGGAGAACCTGGAAAGTCTTGGGAGGTTTTCATGGAAATGAGGATGTTGGGAACTGATTTCAATCATTTGTGCTCGGCTAGTATTCTTGGAGCACTCTTATCAGAGAGAGGAACATATCCAGGGCTTCAGTATCAAGATTGGTTTCTTATCTGGTACTTTTACTCCTATGAGCAATTCAGTAATGAGCATGTATTGCAGATGTGGAAGTAATATTTGATGGAATTAAGTTGTTTGATGAGATTTATGAACCTTTGGAATTATTTATATATTTGTGCTCAAGCCATATGGAAATTAATGAATATACCATCACTAGTGTTTTATCTTTAATTGGAAGCTCACGGTTATTGAAGCCTGGGAAAAAGCCTTTTGTTATAAGGCAGCATATTCTCTGGTACTCCCTGTTAACAATTCATTGATTTACATGTATGGAAAGTGTTGGCAAATGGAGGATGCTAAGCGTGTTTTTGATGAAATTCTTTTCCAGGATTCTGTTTCTTGGAATTCTTTGATTGCAGTGTAGTACACTGAGAATGGATTAGCAGGTATGGCTCTAGAAATGTATTCTCAGATGAGATATTTTTTCTGTAGAACCAACCAAATTTACTCTGACCAGCGTTCTTGAAGTAATGTCCAACTTGGATGCACCACAGCAAGCTATGCAAGTTCATTCCCAAATAATCAAGTTGGGTTTGCATCAGATGATTCCATGGTGACTGGTCTCATAGTGGCCTATGAAAGGTACAATCTGATTGGTGGATTAAAGCAGGTATTTGCTGATATTAATGAAATAGATGTGGTTCATCTAAATGCAATGGTAGGTGCATTTGTTCGTTCTGGTTTCCATGTGGATGTGCTGAAATTGTTCAACAAAACATGGAAGGTCGATCTTGGAGGAGATTGCATCACTTTCAGCCCGATCCTTAAAGGTTGTGGTGCTTTAACAGTATTAGAACAAGGAAGGAGTATGCATTCTCTAGCTCTGAAGTTGGGGATTAACCAGGATGACTTTGTTGGAATATGCTCAGCACGGCTATTCTTGTGAGGTTTTCTATGCTTAATGAGTATGCATTCTCTAGCTCTGAAGTTCTATGTTCATGCTGTCATACGGGGCTAGTTAAAGAGGCAATATTTCCACTTAAACTCCATGTTTCTGTGTCATGGCATAACTCCATGTCTAGAGCACCATGCTTGCATAATTGACTTGCTTGGTTGAGTTGGTTACCTTGAAGAAGCAAAGAGTATTGATCAAATGCCTGTTAAACCTGATGCTCGGGTGTGGCAGATTCTTCTGTCATCCTGCAACATTGTTGAGCTTGGGAAAGTTGCAGCGCAGGAGCTTCTTGCACTACAACCTGAAGATGACTCTACTTATGTGCTTCTCTCAAATATTTATGCATCATCTGGTATGTGGAGTGATGTTGGTAAAATGAGAAGGGTGATGAAAGATAAAATTGTTAGTAAGGAGCCTGGATCTAGTTGGATTCAAGTGAAGGGAAATGTACATTCCTTTTTTGCAGAGGATAAGTTGCATCCTGAGAGTGAAGAAATTTACTTGAAATTATATATATTAAATAAACAAATATGGTGGAATCATAGTTCAAATGAAGATGGAGCTTTTATTTAAAGCAACACTGAATGGATTTTTGATGTAGTGAGTCATGGGTAACATGGTTGGTTCATATAGTTTTGTGATTGCTCTAAACTCCTCTGAGGTAATATAATGGGATTATTTTGAAATTTTGTTCATTGAACAAGATTTCTCTTTCTTGGTTCTTGCATTTGGTGGTTTCTCAATGTCACTTTCAACTATATATGGTTCTCTGAGCCCCTAGGTACAAAAATCCAATTTTCAGGCTGTTATCCACCTGATTGTTAAATTGATGACAATACTTCTTCACCTTATTGTGAACTGAGCAAGTATAGACAAGGTGAAAAATTCCATATATTCTTATAAAATTTGACATGTTGACATGAAATTTGGACAGACATGTAGAAATTATTTAGGCCTAGTTCGTTTTTTGAGAAGTCATTTACCTGGGTAAATGCACTTATCCGCACAAATGTTTCTTGGGAAACACTGGTAAGTGCACTTATTAGTGTTTTTTTTGTTTCCTAAGTAAAGTTAAACAATGACCGTTTTATCCATAAGAGTGTCATTATTGAAGGAGCAATGTTGTCTCATCATGTGTTAGCAATTTTCCCCATGGATGGGAAACTTATTTACCTAGGTGGGCAGAGAGTAATACTTATCCAGTTAACTGAGCCACTTGGGGATTGTTCTCTTTTGCGGGACCCACTAATTATTGAAACACAAATGCGGGTGAGTTGGTCAGCTCTCGCACTGACCAACTTACCTGCCCTCGTTTATCGAAAAATGAACTATGCCTTATGGGTATTTCATAAATCCATGCCTTTAACCATAGGTTGCATGAGGAAGTATGCTAAGGCTGCGGTGAGCTTCTCATCATGTTATGTACCATGCCTTGAATAGTTGAACATGCAGTTTTTGTAAATTTTCTGGGGACCGATATGTTTTCAGTTTTTTTGTTAAATGCTAAAACACGACAAGCCAGATCAGCAATGTTCAAGGCAATTTGTTTCTGTGAAAGCAAGTAGATCAATGTAACCTTGCATTTCTCTTTTACCAAATCATCAAGCATGTTTGCTCATGTTTTGGGACAGCTTATGACTTTTTTCCCAATAATTTATTTTCATGTTCTGTACATTTTTCAAGCGTACCTTGCTCATTCATTTTCAAATAGTGATTCATCTTGCTTTTGTGCTTCATTTTTTTCAATTCCTTTCTAATCAGCCAGTTGGATGCTTTTGTGATGCCCTATTTTTCTATGGTAGTGAAGTAGGCTATAAAATCAAATTATATTGCTGTCAATTTACTTGTAAATCAGATAATAGTTTGCCATACTTTGTTTGACAGGTTTATGGAGATGAGGAATGGTCATTTGGTTTCTGTGAACAAGGCAGTGGAGTTTTTAGTTGCCCTTCCAGTAAGAATCCGATGTATACATATCGTGAATGCATTGTCCTTGGGAATACTAATTTTTCAATATTCAAGGTAAACCAGATTCTGCGGGAACTCAGCAGAGAGTGGCCTGGAGATTCATATGACCTGTTATCAAAAAACTGCAACCACTTCTGTGATGAGTTCTGTGAAAGGCTTGGTGTGCCAAAACTTCCAGGTGATTTGCATTTTGTTTCATTTGCTTTCCTTGTTTGGAATGATGCTGTGTCTTTTGTGTCAAGCTTCTTATTTTATTTTGTGTTTTTGGTAGGTATACTTCTGTTATCACTAATGACTTCGGTAGTTGTCATGTGGCTTGAGTCATTGCCCATTTAAGGGGCTGGTTGATAATGGTTGACGTCACTCAACAGTAGTATTTTTTTTTTTAAAAGGTGAAGTATCATTGTACTTTATTAATAACAAAAAGTATACATTGCCCTTTCTACAAAGAATTTCTGTAAATTATACACATTCACTAGGGACCCTCAAAAAAGTCTATTCTCAAGAAAGATGAAGAAAATTTCTCTCCTCTAAAGTATTTGAGAGTGGATATGCAGCTTTTGATTAGTTCTACCAAAATATTAATTACCACCTGCTGATAAAAAAAAAAAACACCTCCCTCAGGATTTGCCTTGTGTTCAAATATCCTACCTTTCCTCTTCTGCCAAATGGTCCACATAACTGCTAAAGGCACTGCTGCCTAGCAAACCTGCCAGGAGACTCTTGACCAAAGCTGGACAACACCAATACAAAGGAATCACCTTACAGAAGTAAGCCAAATTCTGTAATACTCACAAAAAAGAAATAAATCATTCAAAGATTCAGTCTCCAAGTTCCATAGAGGGCGTGGAGGGTCAACTCACCCTACTCCCTTCTTAGCAATCATCTCCTTGGTCAAACACTTGCTTGTTCCCCCATGCTGTCACCCACACCAAAAATTTGACATTTTTAAGCAATCACCTGATAGAAAGAACAACCCCACTAAAATCAACCCTAACCACATAGTACCTACCACTCACCAACACATACTCAGGCCCTTCATCCAAACTACCCTTATAACATTACCCCACCCTTGACAAAAACAGATAAAATACAAATAGCCTACCTGAGCTCAAAACTCGAAAAGCCCCAAACTACACCAAGAGAAAATCTCCACAATCGAGAAGCACCGACCCATACCCATACCACACGAACGTAACTGCCTTACTTTGTAACTTTAGTTATTTAGTGATGTCACCTTTGCTTCTTTTAGATGGCCTTTTGGATTTTTTCACCACCTTGTTAGGACCTGCCCCAAACAGGCCCTCCTTTGCCTAGCAAGTACCTTTGAAACCTGAATCTGATGCTCATTCTTTTGAGTTTTGACTTTTAAAACGTCTAATTGAATTAAGACTGTTGTCAGATTCCTTCAAAATCCCAGAACCATCCTTTCCCCTCTCTTAATTCCATCATTTTCTCTACATTCTTCCCCCCCCCCCTCTTTAACATTATCACTGTCAACACCCTCTGGCTGGGATCGCCATATCTTCGATCTTTATATTGTCATACATAAGACCATCTACTGATTTATGTAGTTTCTCTCCCCCCTTGCTCCCTTCCTCCATCTTTCTAAATGCTTTCCTCGCGAATTCTTCCCCACCAACAAAGTATAAACCCAAAGTTTACTACTTTGTCAATATTATTGATCAACTTCTTGACCAGGTAAGTCATCAATATTGTTAGTGGTGTTAGTGAAGGGGTATTTCAGTCTTTGTACTTGTTGAGAATGCTGATGTGTACTGTTATGTTAGTTCGAGTGCCTCTTACTTAAAGAAGGGCACTCAAGTCTTTTTCAATAAGTCAATAATATAATAATAGGTCTGGCCGAATCAAGGGATTAACTTTTTTCCCTAATTCGAACCAGCCTTTCTCTCTTTTCTCTCTTCTCTCTTTTCTTCTTTCCTCTCCTACTTCTTGCTGTCTACTTTACTCTACAGTCAACGAACAAGACAGAATTCTATGGCAGGTCAAACTTCAACA